CCCATCTTTTCAATCCAGGATGATTAAAGGCTGTTGTATGAATATTCTAGCTGGAAATGCCAGTAGTTCTTTCCTATGATGGCCGCTTCAAATGGTGCAGGGAAGAGGGAAAAAACTGGAAAAATTCAGGATTGGAAGGAGACAATGCCCCCCACCCACCCACCCACCTTAACACATACTTTTTTTCTAAGAACTTTTTAGTTTTCCAAAAAAAATGTTTTTGGATTATGGATTACTTTCTTCTAAAATGATGAAAAATATATTTAAAACAAAGTGTTCATCTATTCTTGCTTGGTCTTCACTCCCCCCAAATAATTTCTAAAAACTATGTTAAGAGGAAGACTTTTATAATAGAACTAGAGATGTAAAAATACTGGAAATTTTGAAGCTATATGTGGGAAAAGCTATGTTTTATCCTCTGTGTAAGATACCAGCATATTTTTCATTTCATTTCTTATTAAAATTATTGAGAATTTTTGGAATGTTGTGAGTGATGCTATGTTTCCCATCATGTGACCATATCATTATGTGTGAAGAAAATTTGCATTCTTGACTGTGGATTTTGTGTTTCTTCCATACCGTGGCAATCAATGGATGTAAGAGAATAGAAGAGGAATAATATAGGTTACCCAATTACTACCACAGCATGCAATAGAAAACATGAGTTATCTTACCTATATTTCTTTTTTAAAAACATAATGTTGAGGTTTAATCTATGGAACTCATGACCACAGTTTTTAATAATGTGCCTAAATAAACCTTACTGTTAGAGAATGCTGACTCGGCTATAAAATAACTGCAGCTACTGAAACAAAATCCACATGCCTAACAGTATTTGAAGGAATGTCTCCTTCCATATACACCTGCCCAAACTTTAAGATCTTCCAATGAGGCCCTTCTTCAGGAGAACTCCCTGAAGGAGGTTAGAATATTGGCTACCCAGGGAAGAGCCTTTTTGTGGTAGCACCCCAGCTTTGGAATCTACTTCTCAGAGAGGTGCACCTGGCGTCAATGCTTTATTCCTTTCAGCGCCAGGCCAAAATCATTTTATTCACCCAGTATTTCAAGGGTTGATAGTTTATTATATAATTGGAATGTTACTGTATATTTTATATTGTATTTTAATGTGCTGTTACTTGTTTGTAAGCTGTCTTGGGATCTGTTTTGGGTAAAGATGGAGTAGAAATGTTTAAATGAATGAATGAATAGACATTTAGCAGCCTGTTTCATATGCTGCAGGCATCACCACGAATGAAAATCTTTCAGAATGAACACAAATTAAAATGTTTATGGAAGGAACTAGTTTACAATACAGAATAGACTGGTACTCTACAAATAATAGGCTTAGATTGGCTTAGGAGTTTTAAATGAAATGTGCTTGGTGAACCATTCTTACTGGAAAAGAGACACTTCTACAGCTAAATAAGCTCTTCAACAATGGCCTTATGGCCTGTGCAGATTGTCTACTGATCTGTAAGTTAGATCACATTACCTAAGGCTGAAGAGTTGGAAGTTGGAGCTCTGAGACTCCTTCCCCAACTCCTCACAACCAGTAGGAAAAGAACTCTTGCAGCAGGGAAAAGAACCTCAGGACATTTGGGAGGAGCAGGGAAAGAAGGAGTCTGGGGTGTCCAGGAGACAAGTGCTCCAGTTTGCTCCCTTTCCTCCTCAAAAGGTCTTTCCTGGATAGCTGAAAATGGCTGTCAAGCCACAATGTAGAGCAAGGGAATTAAGATGGTGAAGATCACTTCCATTGCTCCTCCTATTCTGTGTTCAGGAAGCGCAGCCCTCTCAGTTCGGAGGCCTGCACTCCTCTACATGTTTTTTCTTCAGAAAATGAACAACACCCCAACCAATTCCTCACTAATGGGAACAGAGGCTGCTTAACAGTCTTCCTCTCCTTCCAGCTCTTCCTGCTTCTTTTGGCTTCTTTTTAAAATTTTATCAGGCTTTAAAAATATAAACAAGCTAAAAAAACCTTGGAGTTTAGTTTTATGCTACTTAATTGCATTGGATATTTTAATTGCATTGGATATTTTATTTCATTTCTCTTTTATTTTGTTTCCATATCGGTATTCTAATTCAGGCATCCAGGTAAAACTACCCCAATACATGTTATTGAAGTGTGAGATATACATCAATAAATTCAAATAAAATATATTGATTCATGCAGGGATCTGAACTAGCCTGAGAAGGGTAGCTGTTTTTGCTAGTGAGGGAGAGGCTATATTTAAGCCTATCCCAGCTGTGTACTTGGTCTTTTCCTAACTTCAGAAGCTTACTCTTGTGCAAGCAGCAGAAGCCTACAGAAACAACAAAGTAACAATTTTGGATATCCCAGAAGAACTGCACAGGCTGCTTATAGGCTACTGCTTCAAATTTTAATAGTGATTTTTAATATAACATTCCAACTAGGGAATCAACTTCCCAGAGAGGTTTGCCTGGCACTTACATGGTATTCTTTCTAGGACTGGAAGACTTTTTTATTTTCTCAAGAATTTTAGTTTCATTCTGTTTAAAATCCCATATTGTATTTTAAATATTTTAAATGCTTACATAAATGTTTATGCTAGGTTTTACTCTAGTTTTTAACTTCAATTTTATGTGGTAGTTCTAACCATTTCAATTTTTATACTATATTTTATGTGTTTAATTTTTAAAAAAATTGTTGTGAACTGCCCAGATACCTTCAGTTATTGGGTGGTATAAAGATGTAATTAAACCATCAATAAATTGATTCAATGTAAAGCCCTGAACAACTAGGAGCTAGGATACCTTAGGGGCTCTTTTCAGTCAGTGCAGTGTAAGGCCACAAGGATGGTAGCCAGATTGCAGGGAAAGCCGTATGAGGTGAGACTGAGGGAACTGGGTCTTTTCAGCCTGGAAAAGAGGAGACTCCAAGGGGATCTGTTGGTGACATACAGGTATGTGAGGGGGTGTCACACGGAGGTGGGTAGAGACCTGTTCTCCCCTGCAGAGGAAGGCAGGACACGCTCCAACAGAGCCAAGCTCAAGGAACCAAGGTTCAATTTGGATGTCAGGAAGTACTTCCTGACAGTTAGGACCCCGAGGGTATGGAATGGGCTTCCACAGGAGGTGGTTGAAGCCCCATTGGTCAGGGTGTTCAAGGATAGGCTGGACATGCACATGGTAGGCATGTTGTGAGCAGAGCCAGCTGGAGCTCGGGGTCAGACTAGATGACCTGGGAGGCTCCTTCTGACTTGTTCTGTTTCTGTTTGTATGTTTCTATTTCATGCCTTATATCCCTGCCTGATCTCTGAGATCATTAGAGGATGAACTTCTGAGAGGACTATATGCTCCAGAAGTGCACCTCAGGTTCACTTGAAATAGAAAATTAAGAATCCCAACTCAGAGATCCTATGACGTTGGAGCTGTGACTTTAAAGGCTGAACCCCTGTCCTGCCACCTCAGAAATTGGGTGCTGGCTGCTCACCCCCAGGTCAGAAGAAGACCCTTGGAAAGGAAGAGGGGAGGCATGTCGGGTCAGGGAGGTGAGGAGGCTGGGGCCATGAAGTATGGCCAATTCCAGAACCCCCACCCCACCACTTCTTTCCCTTCCCCTCCCTAGTGTTAAATCTAGATGGCAACCTAGACAAAATACAGAGCACAGAGTGTGGTGGCAGTTGAGATAGCTTTGCACCTTGCTCTAGATGTTTATAAGCCTCTGCTTTCATCTGTTGCAGAGTTGATAGGATTGTACCCCTGTGGTTATAACGCCATTTTATTTTGGGTTCACTGCTTGAATACTTTTGTGGAAAGAAGTATACACATCTGAATAATAAATCCAGGCTCTAAAATTATTAAGAAAGCTTCTTGGATGAAAAGGGTCTGAGATGACAGATCAGGTGAAAAACTGAACATGGGGAAATATGACTCTTTCTCATCAAGTGGCAATTACACCTGAACAGGCTGGTATTTTAACTTTTCTCATTAGTTGGTGAGTCAGCATCACTCTCTTTGGATTTGTTTTATTTTTATCTTTTTGCCTTTGTTTGAGGTTGGATCTCTTTAAGGTTCTTTTAGAACAAGAATTTCTGGGTATATCTCATATATAATGTGATATAATGGAACACAAGGGAGAAAAGCACAGCTATAACTGTGGAAAAGCTTTCTTTTGACATAGTCAGATCTGTGTTATTTTTAGAAATTAAAAACAAGTTAGGTAGGCAAATCCCTTTCTGTTTTTCTGGTATAAATAATCAATAATAAAACAGGAATATGGATTTCATGAGAAAGCTGCAGATATACACTGGTGAAAAATTTAAAATCTGGCTCAAGTAATTTGCTTTTATGTTTAAGATAACTACCCTGCAAATCTTTTGAAAACTCTTTATTCAGTAATTGATGCAATGAAACTACTGAGCTGGCCTCTCTCTATAGGCAGGACTGGAGTGTATTTTATCTTTCTTGCTACTTTCGTGCTTAATGCCAGCTTCAGAAACTATAATTTATGCTTGCAACTTTTAAGTTTCAAGTACAACAGATTAATAAACGGCCCAATTGGCATTTTGAGGTTCCATCAGGCTGAAATAATTGTTGCCTGTGCTGGTGTTTAGCAGTTAAAAGAGACCATGGAAATCAACCGTTTGATTCTCAATTTCATACTGTGCCATACAATCAATTCTTTTTAGTCAGACTGTCTCTAGATTTACTTCTGAGCCATAGTAAAATGAGGAAGCTTTCATTAATCTTTCAGATGCTTCATATTAATGACAAGGCTCTTCCATGAACAATGTAACAGCAATTAAAAAGCCCATTAATCTGCATTACAGCTATTAAAGATGCATGTCATTAAAGGGTATGGAGTTTGATTCATTTTAGCACCCCCCAAAAAATGGAGCAATTATGGTCTGGCAATGCACTTTGTCATCAAATTAGGTTGGGGTTTTCCAGCAAATGGCTTTGCAGCATTTAGCTCCTCTCCTATTTTATTATTCATGACTGAAATGTGGAAGTCAAGACCTTTGAAATTACTTTACCTTCTTGTGGAGTGGAGATGTTCAAGGCATGTGAGCTCTCAGTACAGCCAGCCAAAGTGCAAGTTGTTAGGGTTACAGCATACTTTGCAAAGGGCCGCAAGCCTGTCAGCGTGCCTGCAGGAGAAAGACACAATGCTTTGGGTATATACGTATGAAAGGAGAATGGAAAATATTCTGCACAAGAGTTGCTCAAGATGTGTACCTTGTGTTCACAACAGAGAAAATGCATTGAGATCCATCTGAGAAATACATTGTTAAATCATAGAATCATAGAATAGTAGTTGGAAGGGACCATGGAAAAGGCCATGTTTTTCAACCCCCTGCTGTTGAAAAACATCCCAAGAAAGTCTCAGAAGTTTAGCCCAAAGAGGATGTTGCAATTTCAATGTAGCCTTATTTAGGTGTTCTGGGTACAATCAACACATGAAGGGAGTATTAGGATTGTTCCCAGTGACTTTGGACCTGACCTCCCTGTCTCAAGGTCAAGCTACACATCTTGTTGATTCTGTAGTATGTAACAGAGCTTTATTTCTACATTAGAGCAGGCATGTGCAATCCTAATTTGGACTGGGACCAGGGTACACAAGGATGGTAGGATTACATTTTCTGCTCCCACCTATCTTTTCCACAAAATTAACCACTCCCCAGGGCACACATGGAGATTTTAAAAAAGAAAAATGTCTCTATCAGGGTCAGTATGGTTTCTGTCTGTCATCTGTCTGTTTTATCTGCTGATAAAGAATCAGAACTTCGGAAAGCGTACAGGTGGGAAAGGGAAGTTCTGTTCTCTCTTCCTGGTACACATGGGCTCCAACATTCTGAAGTTGTCCAAAAAAACCCCCCAAAAAACAAAAAACCACGGTTAAAGTTCAGCTGCTTCACAATTGATGTAATGTGTTGTTTGACCCTTAAAAACTCTATGTCTGTGGATTCTGCTGCTATCCCCCCCCTTTCCCCCCCCTAAAGTTTCAGTTTTTGAGTTAAACTTCCCTTCTCACCCCACAAAGTTGGAACATGGTTCAGGCTTTTTCCACAGCTGCTACTTACATAATAAAGTATATATTAATTGCATTCACAGAATTAACCTCATGTTTACTTTGGTCCAGAACCAACTGTGTGTAATGAATTCCCAACACATGAGGGTCTCAGGCAAGGTTGATTTTACCCAATTGGGGAATGTGTTGAAAAGTTTGAAAATTATGAGTTCTGGTTTAGATGAAATTGAGAGAACTTCTTGGAGCATGCACTTCTAACCCACCTAAACATTTGACTGATTCTGCCAGAATTCCTCTCTAAGACATGTCCTAGTACTTAAAGGGAAGCCTGTAGACAAATATCAGTTAGAGTGGGACTAATAAATTGGGTTTCTAAGAAGTGTTTCCTATTAAAAGCAGTTTTCAGACATCATCATGAAAAATCACTTGATTCCCCACATTTACGAGGCATTGTAAAAATCCATGTATCTATGGCACCATCCCAGCAATGTAACTAGCCAGTCAATGTAACTAGCCATTTAAGGATCCTAAAAGCAAATGTATTTGGGGAGTACTCTTTTTTTTTCTTGTGATTATGCTACTAATTAATAGTAGAAAATTAGAATAATAATGCTAAGCATGAGTATATAGCAGGTTTGTATATAGCATTTAGTCATACACATTATACAGCAATAATGTTTGCAACAACCCTGTAGGTCAATACTCTCCTAATTGGAGATGGAGGCTGAGCCTGAGAGATAATACATACCTAAGACCATGTAAGAAGTTCTGATAGAACAAAGGCTTCTCAGTTTCATAAAGCACAATCCCATTCATGTTTAGACAGAAGGAATTCTGCAACTCCCAGCATGCCACAACCAGCCAATTATAGGACTTATTAGGATTGTGTGATTAGTTATTATACTCAAGGTCAAACTATCTGTAGAAGTGGGAAAGGGTTAAGGCCCCACCTCTTCTCCCACCAATCATCCACTGACAATCTTCACCCAAAGTGTATTTTTTCTTTGGTGGTTTAAATACTTATATTAGAGACAATCCCATGTAAAGTCCATTGTAGCACTCTGATCTGGAGTTAACTGCTGCAAAAGCAATTGAAGGCTGCAGCTGCCATGCAAACCTGAGAGGGCAGAAGGCATACTTGGCCATTGCTACTTTCTATCTTCTCCAGATAGCTATTAGTCCAAGAACACTGTTGAACAGTGTGCCTGGTCATTCATACAGAGTGCAACCCCACCCAAGGCTACTTGAACATTTCTATTTGGATCAGTATATCTCCGTGTCTACAAGATCTTTTTCTCTGGGTCAAGAATCAGCTTGCTTCTCCCCCAGTCCAAAACCACATTCATCCAGCTATCTGTTCCAAGAGTTCCATAGCCTTCCTGATATTTGTAGTTCGAAAAGAGCACTAGAGATGCTTGTCATCAACATATTGCTGAAGATGCAGCTTGAACCTTCAGATGACTTCTCCAAGTGGCCTATATAAAAATGGTAAGTAAAATGGAATCCTGAGGCACTCTGCAAGCTAAAAGTCATGGGATGGAATAGAACTCACCCAGCTGTATCTTCTCAAAATGATTACTCAAGGAGGATTAGAGCCATGGCAACCAGCTCAATTTGGATAGATAAGTCAGAAAGATATTCAGGTCACTGTTATCAAAAGCTGCTGAGAGATCCAGAAATACTAAGAAGGTTACAGTCTCCAGTATAAGTCATCCAGTAATACAACTCAAAGTTCTCCATCTGAAAACAATGCCAGAATCCTAATGGGAATGGAGCTAAATAATAAGTTTCTTCCAAAACCATCTGGAACTGAAGGGTGAGCCACCCTCTCCAACACTTTGCCCAAGAAAAGGAGATTAGAAACCAGATGATATTTGTCAAAGTCACTATAGTGAAAACTTTAGAGGTTGAAGAAATAATTCCGTATGTCAATTGCCCTAAATTAATCAGAACAATGGGTAACAAATAATATTTTACAGTACAAAGACACTTAAGCGTAACTATGTCCACAGCTTGTGTCAACTCCTGCCAGGCAGAGACCAGGAACTTAAGAAGACCACCAATTACATCTGAGAAAGAATCCAAACTAACTTCAAGAAACCTTCTGGATGTATCAGCCTCCAAGAGCTGCTCATTGGAAAATGCCGTTCCTCAATGCAAAGCTTACAGAAAGCTTGAAAGCCAAACATGCTCATGCAATGTTATAACAATGCACTGTATAGGAGGCGGTAATCAGGTAATCAGGCCTGTCCTAAAGAAGGCATCTCTGGATCCAGAGATGGCTGCCAATTATAGACCGGTGGCCAACATCTCGTTTTTCAGTCTGGCTTCAGACCCGGGTACGGTATTGAATCTGCCTTGGTCGCCCTGTAAGATGACCTGTGCAGGGAGAGAGACAGGGGGAGTGCGAACAGGTGGTGGCGGGACAACTCCAAGCACTCTTGGATGAAACTGATTATCTGGACCCATTTCAGGAGTGTGTCCCTGTTGGTTCTCCTGGACCTCTCAGTGGCTTTCGATACCATCGACCATGGCATCCTCCTGGACAGGCTGGCGGGACTGGGAGTAGGAGGCACTGCTTGGTAGTGGTTCTGCTCCTACCCTGATGGCCGATTCCAGAAGGTGGTGCTGGGGGACTTTGGCTCTGTGCCATAGCAACTTTGCCATGGAGTACCACAAGGTTCCATTTTGTCCCCCTTGCTATTTAATATCTACATGAAACCACTGGGAGAGGTCATCAAGAGGTTTGGGCTGCGGACTCATCAATATGCTGATGACACCAGCTCTACCTCTCTTTTTCAACTAACCCAGGTGAGGCTGTGGCTGTACTGAACCAGTGCCTGGCCGAGGTAATGGGCTGGATGAGGGCCAATAAAGTGAAACTCAATCCAGATAAGATGGAGGTTCTGTTGGTGGGTGATTCGAGCTCCTGGGTAGGTGACTTAGGCCTTGCCCTGGACAGGGTTGCACTCCCTCTAAAGGACAGGGTCTGCAGCTTGGGAGTGCTCCTTGACCCGGCACTGTCCTTGAAAGCTCAAGTGACAGTGGTGGCGAGGAGCGCTTTCCTTCAGCTTCGGCTAATCCATCAGCTGCGTCCCTACCTGGAGGAAGATTGCCTAGCAACAGTAACACACGCATTGGTTACTTCCCAGCTGGATTTCTGTAACGTGCTTTACATGGGGCTGCCCTTGAAGACAGTCTGGATACTTCACATGGTGCAAAACAGAGCTGCCAGGATGCTGTCGGGGACTGGGCGTTATTCTCATATAATCTCAGTCCTCTATCAGCTCCACTGGCTTCCCATCGAAGTCCAGGCTCAATTCAAGGTGCTGGTTATTACCTATAAAGTCCTAAATGGCTTGGGACCAGGATACCTTAAGGAACGCCTTCTTCCCTATTTGCCCTCCCACCCCCTGAGATCGGCAGCAGAAGCCCTCCTTCGGGAACCCTCTGGTCCTGGGGAGAGTAATTCAAGTCCCCTATGACTAGAGCCCATGATTCCCAGATCTAGGGTCAGAGACAGAATCAAACCTTGGAACTGGTGATTTGCATTCCTATCTTTCTGCCTGTCTTTCTCTTTGTTTGTTTGATTGAATAATGAATGACTTGTATGCCACTCAATTAGCCATACTTTCTCTCTTTGCAGTTGGCATGGAAAGACCTGGGGACACCACAATACAAGCTATCCAGAGGGTGCGCCAGCCTTATTCCTTCCCCTTCCATAGCATTTCAGCTAGATGGGCAATCATGGTGGTTGACAGTGGGAGGTGTGATAAGGCAGGGTTCATACCTGCAGCTCCTCCCAATCTGCAATGGATGCCTGCACACCTCCAGATTTGGGCCCATAAGCATCGAGGGTGTAATCTGGACGATGTGAACCACAATTTTAAAAATTTGGATGGCTGAGCATCCCTTGAATATGTTGTTTAGAGGGACAATGTTTACCAATATGGAACATGTAAGCATTGAAATGTCTAAGATGGTACTAAAACACACACTTGCTATTTAATAAGACCTGATTTTTTTATAGAAAGAAAAACAATTAGAAGAACACTGTATTTGAGCTTTATTCATATGCTGCCTAGCGAAGGTGAATTTTCAGTGGAAGGCGTATAATAG